CTGGGCCTTCCTGTCCCTCCAGCGTGACGCCCGCACACCCACACAACTCTGGTAACGCCTGTAGCGGCAGCGGCGGCGGCAGCAGCAGAATGAGAATGGTGGCGCACGTGCATCACTGCGTGCCCAACGGCTACACCATACCACAGAGTGCCGTGCGTGCCCACCTGCCCGCCACGCCAACCACACACACCACACCGTCTTACTGCTCCCGCACGGCACGTCGCGTCCGTAACTTCACCATGAGAGCGACCGCTCCCCGACACTCACTTTCGAGTTCTGCTCTTCCTACATCGCATGACCTCAAGGCCGAGCATGCGCCAGGATATTGTGAGGAGTTACTGAGACATTACCTGTAAATATACGCACACGCATTGAAGGCTTCGCGCTCGAAAACGTTTCCAAGATTCAAAAAATAACTCGATAGGTATACGTGCCAGATGGATTTGCTTCCCTAATTTCACTGCCACGAACAGTAAACAAATAAATATCAATCAGTCTTCGCCTTCGACCATTTGTTTGATCTTGTTCGCTTTCGTGTGGGTATGTGTTCTCAGAACATGTGATCGAGTACGGCTTACATAAGGTCCGGCAATATTCCTATAATGCCCTAGTTCTATACACTCCCAGTATATGTAGCATCAAAACAGCCATACGCCTGACCGCCATTGCTTGGCAAAACGGTCCCCATAAGACAAGTTATAAAAACACGAAAAGCATCAACAAACAATAAAACCTTACGCAACGTCACTGCACCCGAAACGACATCTTGAGCGCACTTGCCGCGCAAGGAGCTTCCAACGAAGGATTTTTGCAATGCCTCGCAGCTGAGAGCCAAGATTCGATGCCATTGTAAGCAAATTGCGTCATCGTGTGCCCCTTGCCAGGGCCTTCTCTGACCTCATCTCGACCCTCGCATCCCCGAGCAGCTTTGAACATGCTCCCCTTTCATTATCGCGTCGCCGGGAAGGGAAGGAAAATAAATACTCTATTCTAAATTTAGTTCCCCTCTTTAACGCCAAAGAATCTCAGAAAGTTCTTGCCAAATATTCATATCTATTATTTTTACTAATGGATATCATCAACGCAAACTCAAGTGCCTGCAACATCAAGCGATTGCAAACAGCTTTCCGCCGATGTCCATGGAATAACCCGTTCGAGCTGCCGCGGAAATGATCCCCTACCATCCCCGAGAGTGAATTCCAATCGCAGAGCGAAACCTCCAAACGGACAGCGGGGCGACGAGCCCACTTATCCGCGAGGGAAACCCAGCTTTAATCGCACGACAAACTCGCCAGAAACTTGGTCGCAGCAGCGTCGGCCGGGGGGAGGGTGGATTCTACCAAAACGATGAAATTAAGTGCCATCTAACGAGCTCTGGATAGTCAAAATTCCAGCAAAGGTGTCCGGAAGGATCAATTGGAGAGCCCTCCTCGCCCCGCCCCCCTTTAGAGCTGGCTGACGGGGAAAGGAAGCTTCCACGAGACTTGCACATCTTTTCGGTCAAGAAATGAAACATCTTGTGAACCCGCGCACCCTCGACCTTCTTTCCTTCTAATGGCTCATGGCATATCCACTTATCAGTTTAATTTGCTCGCTTCGCTCCATTGCCATCATTGCAAACTCCATTTGAAAACGACGAGGGAACATAGTGAAATCTAATTTCTAGCAAGGGATTAAAATTCTTAAGAGTCTTACATGCAATATAACTGAGGACATAAATGAATACTTGCAATACACATCCTGGCCGTTTATGGTCTCCACTCGGCAAGTTCTAGCAGCTGTACACACCTTCCCTAAGCACTAAAAACCTTGATGCCAAATCATAACAGGCCAAGGCAGTGGGTGGAGACTAAAAAGGCAAATTTGGATTGTTCGTTCGAAGGCCAAATCCATAGGTTTTCTGTGAGAGTGGACGGGGAAAGACACTTGAATGCAATGAGTTTAGCAAGAAAGAGCAAATGACAGCGAGGGAAAACTTTCACTGTTCATAGAAAACGGTGAAACCAAATCAAATGAACATTGGAATATCTGATACGCTTGACTAATAAAAAAAATAATCACACCAGAAATACATGAATCCAAGAACCTGACAAGAAAAAATGCAAGACCATTGAGCTAAAACTAATGACACGGCGAAGGGGCGAGAGCAAGATGGAGCAACGGGGCCGGCGTCAGTATCCCGCGGAGGCGGTTACGCAGGACCGCCGGCTGACTCACTCTTAAAGTGGGTTTCATGTTCCACGAACTCCACTGTGCCTCTCACACCAAAAACCCGCTACATTCACACTCTAGGAGAACACAGGCGCAAAAATGCTACAGGCATTCACATGGGCACGAACATACGTTAAACTAATACTGAAGTGGACTGCAGTATACGCTCGAGTAAATATGGAAGCATGTTTACATGAATGAATACACAGATTTTCAAATAAATCTATGTCAAATACTGATTTACACCCATTGTAGAAAATAAATGCATCAATAAAAATCACATTTATAAAACTACTGACGAATTGGTCTGAGTCTTTTCGCTCCACTGGGACTTAACAAACGCCTCTTTTTAGACACCGCAGACTTCATGGCCAGACCAGAGACTCGGTGGTGAAGTAAAAAGTAAAACACTATTAGGCCAGCCACGGTAATGAAGGATGCCCGTAATGAGACTTTTTCTTCCTTTTTCTTCTATCATGAAAAAGTCTTGATCTTCCTCTTTGAGCGAGAATCACGTTTCGTGTAAAGTCTCCCAAAGAAAAGAAGGTAAACACAGAGGCGCGATGGATTGCGACCTCGCCCTCACAGATCTTCCGTACTGGACTCGTGCCAAGGCTAGGCAATCCTATAGGACACCCCTAAATCAGATGGCACTATTGGACGGGCCAGGCATCCTAGACACCCCTTCCCCCCACCATGAGATCCGAGTGACGCCACAGCTTGTGGGCGCCCGGAGAAGGCTGCGCCTCTCCTCCACGCCCGAGTGCCAGGCGGCGAGGCGTTCGATACACCAGCCTCAGGATGCTCTTCCTAATATGTGCGAAAAGACGCAGTCCTGAATGAATCCGGGGTCCTTACGCCCTGCCCAACGCCTCCGGACGATCTGACACCCTCGGTCGCCATCGCCACGAGCGCTCTGCCGTCGCTCCACATCCCACATACTGCGCCAGACGTTCCTTGGGCCATCTCGGAGCCCCACCAAATGAGGTCAGACGAGGCCAGGAGGCGCCAACACCTCCAGCAAGAAGCAGAGAGAAAGGGAGGGCAGAATAATTGGGAAGAGGTGGCAGTGGAGGAGGAGGGAGAACAGGAGCAGCTCTCATTTTCGTGAGGGATAACCTCCATCACAGAGGCAGCGCACAATATTTCCTTCGCCATCATTAATCTCGCCCTTCTCCCCATCCTGCCCAGAGCGCCCTTTTGCCGCTTCACGTCCCCTACCACGGCGGCCATTGAGGTCGATAACGATGGTGTCAAACAGAGAGGGGCGGGAGTGTAATAGGGGGGTTAGAGGGATAAGGATGCCGAGGAAAAGGGAGGAGGAAGAGTAGGGAGATGGGAGAGGATGGCGGAGGAAGGAGGAAGAGGAGGGGGGAAGGGAGAAAATGCCGGAGAAAGGGGAAGGGAGAGAGTAGCAGAGAAAGGAGGAAGGGGAGGTGGGAGGGGAGAGAATGCCGGAGGGCGGAGAGCACACTCCACTCTAACAGTATTTTCTCTCCCATTAAGAGCATCCTCAAACGTGCATGTCACCCCTTCTTTGACAACTCCTTCCCGCACGTCACCAAATCACAGCCTCATTATCATGCTGTCCCTCGGAACAATACATCTTGCTGACCTGGTTCTCGGAAGTTAGGTTGTCGCGGCACCCCCGCACTACGCCTAACGACAAACAAAAAAGTGGGGGCACCAACGAAGAATGGGGTGAGACGAGGGGAGAAGAGAGGAGAGAGAGAGAGAGAGAGAGAGAGAGAGAGAGAGGAGAGGAAGGGGGAGACAGAAGATTACATCATGTATATATATACTATATATATATATTATATATCTATATATAGATTATATATATATATATTATATAGTACATATGTTATATTATATATATGTATTATAATATCATATAATATATATATATATATATATATAAATATAGGATTATAGTATAGAATATATTATAATTATATTAATTATATGCGTGCCTGTGTGAGAGTGGTGTGGTGGTTTATATTATATATATATATATAATTATATATATATATATATAATATATATATATACAATATATATATATATATATATATATTTTACTATATATATGTATATATTATATATATTATTATATATATAGATATAATATATATATATATAATATATATATGGTATATATTATATATGATAAGAGCGCGGTGCGCGGTGGGCGAGCCCCGGGCCAACCCGCCCGCCTCCTACCATTCTAGCTCGAATGCACTTCGGGTTTCGCCAGCTCGGGCACAGGGCTCGCATAGATCACGAGTCAATACACGCTTTTATACATTATTCATTAATACGATTGTTCCTATTCCATCAGTTACGTACCACATTACATCATTAACATGTGGCAATACGAACAGGTTTCCTATTTCTACACCATTTTACTATCTCTTATACCTCATCTATTCATTTCATATCATATCTATTATATCTTACTTCTCATTCATCTCTCTCTTCTCTCTCATCTCTCTCTCTCTCTCTCTCTCCTTCTCATCCTCTCTCCTCTACTCTCTACTCTCTCTAATTGTGAATATAGACACCTCTTCCACTAAAAATTGCATTGCACAATCGACGCTATATGAGCAGCACACACACTAACTCATTCACATAACACACTACTCAACACACACTAACACTACACTACAACACACACACACAAACACCACACACACACACAACACACACACACACACAACACACACACACACACACACAACACAAAACATGTACATACACAATGTACGGTAATAGGACTCTGGAGTTAATAATAGGGGAGGACTCAGTGAACAGATGAAAATATGATCCCATTCTGGGCAAATCTCCCTCCACTTTCCGCCCTGGACTCTAAGTGAAATTAATGAAATAAGCAGGGAACGCCTCAGAACTCTACGCTATGGAATACCTTACTCATACCTTGTGTTAACCGTGCGTCTCCGTAGGTGACAGGTGAATGGCAACGCTAGAGATACTCTTCAAAAAATGCTACTGAGTCGGTAAGTCCGAGTAGCAGAAGTCACGACCTTTGCCCCCACTCGACCATTAAGGTTATGCATGAGGTGAAAGGACTGCTTCTACCCCTTTCGTTTCTCCCTCGCGAATCGGACTCCGTCCGTGG